GTGGGAAAAGATTAATCAAAGAACATATATGCATATATGCATAATCCATAGACACAGACAGTATTGTGGAGAAGGCCTAGTGTGGGGCAAGGTCTAGAGATGAAGGGGGAATAAAGGGGAGGGGTGGGGGACATCTATAATACTGTCAACAATAAATACAAATAAAATTATATATATATATATATATATATATATATATATATATATATCCTGTAAATATTTCTCTGTTTTTTGAAAATGTTCTCAGAAATAAGAATATTCACTGTCCATAAAAATATTTTATGGGGGGGGGATAAGGACACATATGTAATACCTTAGTCAATAAAGAAATTTAAAAATATTTTTATATTTATTAATTAGACTTAATGAATTATGCTTTTCAAATATTCTAAGTACTTATATTTTTTGTATACTTTTTCTGTAATGATTAAATTACATGGAAATCTCCCTTAAAGACATTTCTTTAATTTTTCTTCTTGTATTACAGTTTTTTTTCTTTACATATTTGGATGCCATTTTTTGAAGAAAGAAAAAAAAAGGTCTATGACTACAATATCCTAATATAGCTTATGTCTTTTATCATTATAAAATGAATTTCTTGGGACAAAAATAATTGTATGATTATTGTTGTTAGTATGTTGTTGTTTTTTCAAATAGGTTAATGACATGATAAGATCATTTATTTTGAGGATATATTGATTGGAAGGAGCTAAGACCAAAAGATGAGAAGGCAGAAATTATGAATGACTGAATTAAGAAAAAGGATACAGAGAGGTTTTTAGGGGACTGGATTGAAGGAAACTGGATTGATGGGGTCTAGGGCGAGTGAGAAGTGTTGAAGGTAACACTTAGACTTCTGATATTGTTAACCATCATCTAAAGGCCATATAGGAGGAAGAGCTGGGCTGGCTTTTTAGAATAGGCCATATTAAACAGTTCCCTCTTTTTATATTCCTCCCAAAGGATTCAAGCCCAGACCTAACGCTCAGTGTTGAATCTTTGTCAGTTGATTGCTTACTCAAACCAAAGTCTTCCTACCTTATTCTAAAACATTAGTATAAATACTAAATTTCAGGGAGAACACATTTATTTTATGTGCTAGGAGCTCTTTCATAAATTTGAGGAATAACTTATATTTATAAGAATGAATAACTGCCCTCCCTATACTATCCTCAGGGTAGTCTACAGGTGAAGGTTATATTTTCCACAAGAGGGCAGCATCATATAATAAATTATGCCATTGAAAGTCTCCTCCAATAAGGGCTGAAAAGATTGAAAGGTAAACTACATAGGTTCAGGGAGCCATGGCAACTGCCACACCAATGAAAACAAAAGGGCCCTACTATCTCCAAAGGCCATAATTAAGTGACTGGTAGGTAGTGGCTGATGTTGCTATAGGTAAGCGAAAGAGGACTTGGAGCTTACCAAGGGAAGATGAGTGAGTGACACACCTGAACACTCTCATTATTATGACTAACCCTGAATGGTGACTTATGAGTTCTACAAAGTGCTGGTATTTCTGGTATTTCTGGTATTTCTGTATAATCAGTATCTCACAGGGACCTTTATTTCCTGTTCAGATCTTTGTCGCCTCTAAATGATTTCCCAGCAAATCATGTTCTCTGAAGGTTATGTTGCAAAGTACACTACAGTTCTGATGTTCTCCTTATTTAATAATGTTTTGTTATCCCAATTATGCTTCTTTTATGTATTAGGGAAAGAAATGAGACTGAAATTCATTGATAACCCATTATGAAAAAGGCATTTTACATAAATTGCTTCATTTAATCAATTCAACGATGCCATTATATAATAACTATTTCCCATATGACAGAGCTAGGAAGTAACATACATGGGACTACCTGACTCCAAAATAAAAACTCTGCCAAATGCACCAAGCTACCCCTCCAAGAAGTCTTATTTATAACCTAAATCATGACCAATTGAAGATTGAGTCCATGACAATGTGTGTATTGTATAAAGCATTGCTTAAGATGTCACCTCCTATCCAAATAAATGCTCAGACATAGCTTAATATTAATATTAGATACCAGAAAGTAACATAATACCAGTAAATGATTATGATCCTATATAACTTCACCCCCTACTAACTCAAAACCCTTTCATTCTTAATTATTCTTTCCTCAGGATAAAGCATTTAGAACAATGGAATAATTAAAGATGGCTTCTGTGTTTCTTGGCTTGGTTAACTGAGGGCATGGTTGTCTCAATCACTGTGATAAGGATCTTAGGAAGAAATGACATTTTAGGTTTTGAGTATGTTTTCCTTGAAATGCTTCTGAGACATCTAAGTATAAATGTCCAATGGGAAGTTGGTTATATGAGTTTAGGGCACAGGAGGTACACTCATCCACATATAGATAATAATCGAAGCTCTGGAACTGGGTGAGATTTTTGATGCTATATTAATGAAGTCAGGAAGAATGGTAGTAGGGGAAACACCAACATTTAAGATATGGTTAAAGAAGAGTAGGTAGAAACCTGTTTTTTTTTTTTTTTAATGAACATTAAAAACAAAGAGGCGGCCAACCAAATAAGAGATGATATTTGTAAACAGTAGCTCCTATAAAGGTTTAATTTCCAAAATATATAAAGAACTCATAAAACTCAACACCAAACAAACATCCCAATCAAAAAAATGGGCAGAGGACCTTTCCCAAGAAGATATACAGACAATAAATATATGAAAAGATGTTCAACCTCACTAACAATTATAGAAATGCAAATCAAATAAGACTGGATAAAGAAGATGTGATATATTACACACCCATAAGAAAAAGATGAAATAGCATAATTTACAACAACAAGGATGGACCTTGAGAACATTATGCAAATATAAAACTGTCTGGCTATTCCTTAAAAAAAATAAAAAATAAAAATAAAACCCAGCAATCCCTTTCCTTAATATATACCTGAAAAACTAAAAAACTTGTATTCACAAAGATATATGCACCCCTATGTTCACTGCAGCATTATTCATAGTGGCCAAGACATGGAGACAACCACAGCGTCCTGCGATAGAGGTGTGGATAAAGAAGATGTGGTCCATGTGCACAATGGAATACTACTCAGCCATAAGAAAGGATAAAATAGTACCATTTGCAACAACATGGATGGACCTTGAGGATACTATGCTAAGTGAAATAAGTCAGTCAGAAAAAGCTAAGAACCATATGATTTCACTCATATGTGGCATATAAAACTGAAACTCATGGACACAAATAGCAGTGTGGTGGTTGCCGCAGGGAATGGGTGTCCCATCCATGGAGACAGGAGAAGATTTGACTTTGGGTGGTGGGCACACAGGGAACATACAGATCTTGTAACATAGAAACTCACATCTGAAACCTGTATGATCATATTGACCAATGTCATCCCAATAAATTTAATTTAAAAATAAAAATAAGTAACATTTAAAAATGAACAGAGATATAAGAAAAGAACAGGTAAATGGATATCTTGAAAGCAAGAAATGAGAGTTTAGAACATTATAAACTGATGAATAAAAAGATAGATACAGAGACAGTAAAGCAACAAACAGACTGTCAAATTACAGCGGGGAGGATAGGGAGATATGGGGGAGATAAGAGATCAACCAAAGGACTTACATGCATGCATATAAACATAACCAATGGACGAAAAACTCTGGGGAGGGAGGGCATGAATGGGACTGGGGTGGGGGGAGGGCAATGGTACTATCTATCTATCTATCTATCTATCATCTATCTATCTATATCCTTAATAAAAATAAAAAAAAGAAAGAAAAAGGAGAGTTTCACAAAGGTGGGCATAATCCATAGCAACAAAATCAAAGGCTATGTATAAATTGTATATGATGAAGATTGAAAATAAGCCATTGATTTTGGCAGTTAGAAAGTAATATGCAGCTTTGACAGAATAGTTTCAGTGGAGTTCTGAGAGTCAAATTTAGACTGCAAAGGGTAAAAGGCAAAATGGTAGGTGAAGAAGTAGAGACGTGATTATAGAATCTCCTTTTGAAAGATTATCAGCAAAAGAAAGAAGATAGGGTGGTAGCTAGAGGGGAAAGTATAATTGTGGAAGGATGTTTTAAATTCTATTTTTATAATAAAAATATTTAATATGGAGAAACCTAGGCCTGTGTATAGAAAACAAGCTAACAGACGTTCAGTGTAATTTTCAGTAACAGAGCAAAGATGCAGCAGCCATATGGAAAGCTAACCAGTAGGCAGATGTTTGGTGGCAGTAGAATGACTGTTCTAAAATGCCCTTGCCTACCTTTTGTTTATGCCACTCAATTTACCTGGAGTGCCCTTTTCCTTCAGATGGTTTGTTGTCAAATTCTACCCTCCCTTGAGCTCAAATTTTACCTCCTCTATGAAGTCTTACCCTATCAATCTCTTCTGAAGTTCCTCTCTTTCTCTTGAACTCTAATAGCAATATCTGTTTGAGCAATCCATTTGACAATCACCCCTCACTCTATGAAATCTCCTTAATTTTGTTCTTCAGAATTATGTTGCTAATTAATCACATGTGAATCCTTTCTCCCCTGCTAAACTATACACTCTTCAAGGGCAGGATTTCTATCTTAGAGTTTTCCACAGCCTCCAGGATGTCTACCATGGAAGGTAGTAGGGTCTCTTTAAATCTACGTGGTTGAGCGGTGGTAGCCTGTTATGAAGAAGACAGAAAAACGGTGGGTTAAGGAGGCCCTTGGTGTGCATTGAGTCATTTTTTTCTCTCAATAGCAAATAAGACAGACTCTTGCAGAGGTAAAGTAAATTTATACAGAAGACACAGATAGTATGTGACGGTGTCAGGGTTTGAACCAAAGGCCTTTCTCCTAATACAGTATTTTCGGTTGTGTACAGAATTCTGTTCATGGGAAACACCTCTTTCCTTGGTGATATTGATAGGGATATGACTGTACTGAGGTTTTATTACAAACCAAGTGGGTTTGGCAGCCCTTGCACCGTGCAGGAAATGTCCCTGTACCTTACCTCCTGACAATCAGCTTGAGGATCCTGAAGGAGCCTTTGATGAGGATGAGGGCCTCTTGGCGGGAGCCATACAATGGAGTGCCATTGATATTCACCAGCTCATCACCAGTCCTCATCTTCTGGGACAAGGCTGCCTTGCCCCCATCTTCAATCTGTGTTGCAGAGAACAAGATAGAAAGCAGGTGGTGAGGCAAATCCTTCCCCAAAATTCTACTTCCATCTCCTCCCAACCTCTGAGCCACAAGTAATACTGCAGTGGGACATGGGAGGGTTGGGGTAGGGGGGAGGCAGTGAGGTGGGTGGTGAATGGCTCCAGGAAGCTCCAGGAAGCAGCTAAAAAGCTGATCATAGACCATTATTTACTGAAGGTAAAGCTTGGCCAAGCCTTTGAGGAAGGAGGCAACATGATAATAATACAATATGTCCATCTAGAGCACATGTGTCAAACACAAGGCCCGCGGGCCAAATCCGTCCCGCCAGGCCTTGCAATGTGGCCCGCACCACGCTGTCATCACTGCACTCCGCTGCGTTTCCATCACAATGACAGTTTATGACTGTTCAGTAAACCATTCGGCCCGCGATTTAGGCTAGATTTTAGATTTTGGCCCCTTCTCTGATTGAGTTCGACACCCCTAATAGAGAGACAAGCACTTCTAAATATGAAAATTATGCTTGGAAGGAACCCCACAATATGGGCTACAGTAGCAGAATGGCATAGCAAAATGTGCACGTAAATTATAGTCCAAAGAGCTAGACTTCAGCAAAATCACCTTTGGCAAGTCCTTTCCTATCTTTTTTAAAAAAAATTTTTTATTAAATTATTATCTTTGTACATATACCATTGCCCCCCCCCCCTCCTTTCCTATCTTTGGGCAGACTTTTAACTCTGACAAATTCGAGTTTGGATACTGGGTCTAGTACTTCATAGTTGTGTAACCCTGAACAAGTTACCTAATATCTTTGTGTCTTGAGGACCTTATAAGTGAAATATAGATAATTAGAGTACCTACCTCACAGGGTTGTTAGGATACAAAGTGTCTGGGAGCAATAAGTCCTCAATAAATGTGAGAGTTCTGATTATTATAGCAAGGGGATTGACTCTCGAGGTAGCTTCTAGCTCAATATTCTGTGAGTGAAATTGCAAATTCAAAAGATTCAAAGTATGCACAAACAAAGTAATTGATCATTTATCTGTGTCTCTTCAACAAGTACCCAGCATAGTGCTTCCAGTGTCTGGCACATAGGGGGCATTTACTGAAAGCTTGGAACCTGGGTGTTCACTGTTCCACCACAACCTAGAAAATTTCCATTGAGAAAGCCAATCTTGGCAAGAAAGGGGGCATTGAAAGCAAAGTCATAAATAATAGCCATTGTGGTAGACAAAGGAAAATCAAAGCAGAATGTCCCCTAAGGGGTCCTTGCTTATAGCTACTTTTATCCTATATAATAAAAGCCTAATATGCTAAGTGTCCAGTTGTCTGGTTGGCGGTTCAGCCAAAGCATACTATGCTAATGACATACTAAGGCTGCTCAACTGCTTGCTATGATGTCCACTGACCACCAGGGGGCAGACAGTTGACCAGTTGATCAGTCGCTATGATGTGCACTGACCACCAGGGGCAGATACTCTGACCAGTAGGTTAGCTGGCTGCTGGGGTCCGGCAGATTGGGACTGAGTGAGACAGGTTGAACATGCCCTGGAGCTCTCCCGCAGTCCTTCCCCACCAGGGGGTGGGAGGGCAGATGCAGTGAGCTGAGCAGTAAGGAGCAATGAGCAGGTAGGCAATAAGGAGCAAGGAGGATGTCCAACTGCCGGCTTAGGCCCGATCCCCGGGGAGCAAGCCTAAGACAGCAGGATGACCTCCCCCAAGGGGTCCTGGACTGTGAGATGGCACAGGCTGAGCTAAGGGACTCCCCTTCTACTTCACAAATTTAGTGCACCAGGCCACTAGTATATTATATATTCCTTCAACCCCCAAAGTGAGTTCTACCTATTGGAACATCAATTCCATCCATGGTGTTAGGAGTCATCTCAGCTATCCATTAATTCAGTCGTCAAGTTTTTAGTGAATTTCTAGTGTGCTCAGGAGAACATGCTGGGCATACAGAATAGAGGAAGGCACACACAACTCCTAGATTCAAGGGTAGGTTACCATCTAAAATTCAAATAGCCACACAAGTGGTTTAGTAATAAAAGGTCTAATCCACTGATAGAATCAGAAAGAAGTGTGTGTTTGTTTGTTTGTTTGTTTGTTTTTCTCCAAGGGCAAGTTGAGGTGAGGGTGATTAAACCACACAATCTTTAGGGAAAATTAGATTCTAAGTGGGGCAACTATGGGCTGGTCTTTGCCGCAGGTGTTTTTACACTTCTACTCTTGTTCCAATCTTTCTCTCAGTTTTTAATAGCATCCAATCTATCCCACACCATGGAAGTTAGAATTTTGCTGAGCTTTAGGTTGGCCAGTTCATATGCAATTTGGCAGATGTGCCCTCCTTAGTGCAGAGAAAAATGTTAATTCAGGGTTTCAAAACCACATCAAATAAATTGAAATTTTAAGTTAAGTCACAGACTGTAATTAAATTTATTGCTGCTAACCCAACAGTTTTTAAATTGATCTTTGTTTGATAAATTATAGGTTAGCCAAGTGACTTTGAATATATATACCTTTGTTCCAGTACCTAGGCCACCACTCAAAACAAGCCTATATTGGTAAATGTGGAACAACTCTCAGCAAATTAATTAGGATTGCACTCTTATTCCAATTGTCATTATCATTATTACTCCACAGTCACTGCTGTCTGCTGCCAAAAAAAAAAAAAAATTGCTATACTTGAATTTCAGGAGTTCTATTTGAATGACTCATTCCTTTGGCATCCGTGAAAGGTCCTCAGCTTCAGGCAGGAATTTCAACAGGGCTTCCTTAGGCTAACAAACAACCACAAATAGGAATCAAACTAATGATTGCTAATAGATTTTTCCTGTTGATGTGCATTAGTCTTAATTCACTCTACTCATTTTTTATTCATACAACTCAATTATCCATATTACTGTTAGCCACAGCAAGTCTTCCCTTCAATATGTATTGATATTAAATACCACTTCGAGTTAATTAAGCACTTTGTTACATCAGCAAGATCTCTGTTTATTCTAGACCAGAAAATGAAAGAGAGGTACTTTTTAAACTAAAATGCTTAGTTTTATTGCTGTAGCAAAAGTTCAGACATTTTACATTCCCTACTGCCACTTCAGCTGCCATTATCTGAGTCCTTGCAGGAACTCTTTTCAGACTATAGCCTCAGGCTGACTACATGCCCTTTTTGCCATTCCATGCCCTTTCTCAGTCACCAGCAGTATCCTCCTCAGGACAGACAATGCCACTTTAGCACAAGCGTGAGGATTTGCAAACAATGAAACAGCCAATTATTGGCATACTGCACAATCCCAGAGCAGGGTACGAAACTCTCTTTGGTTGAAGATATCTTGGACTATACACCAAACTAGTCCTTTCCCAGACACAGGGCATTTACTGAGCTATTTGGTCTAGTAATAATTAATGTCGTTTTCTAATACTTTTTAAATCGAATTTATTTAAACAATACAACAAAATTTAATCAACAATATAGTTGCCGTTGTTTTCTACTACTTGTGCCCAGCGCTCAGGAAGCATTTTAATCCCTCTGTTGTAAAATTCTTGTGATTTTGATGCAAAAAATTCGGTCAATGCATTTTTGAGGCATTCTTCATTATTAAATTTTTTTCCAAGAAGAAAGTTTTGCAAAGAACGAAACAAATGGTAATCAGAAGGGGCAATATCAGGAGAATATGCAGGTTGAGGGAGAACTTCCCATTCCAACTGGCGCAGTTTTTCAGCAGTGATTCTTGCAGTATGTGGTCGTGCGTTATCGTGGTGAAGAATTACGCCCTTCCGATTAATCAGCGCGGGTTCTTTTTCTCTTAAAGCTTGGGCTAACCTTTCCAATTGGGCACTATACACTGCACTTGTAATGGTTTGGTTAGATGGTAAAAGTTCATAATGAAGAATTCCTTTAAAATTCCACCAAACACACAACATCACTTTTTTCGCATGCAAGTCAGGTTTTGGCTTGGGCTGCGGAGCCTCATTTTTGTCCAACCATTGAGGCCGCCTTTTCAAATTAACATACAGCACCCATTCTTCATCTCCGGTAACAATTTGCTCTAAAAACGGCAAACGGTTTTGACGAGAGAGGAGCGAACTGCAAATTGTGACTCTTTGATTACGGTTGTTGTCGGTCAACTCATGAGGAACCCATTTTCCAAACTTTTGGACTTTGCCAAGTGCACGCAATTGATTGGAAATTGTTTTTTGTGAACAATTTAAAGTTGTCGCAAGCTCTTGTTGGGTAATTTGAGGATTTTGCACCAAAAGAGCTTGAAGAGCTTCTTGATCAAAATTGGACACACGGCCTCGACCACTCTTGTCATCTAACGAAAAATTTCCCTTGCGAAATTTCTCAAACCAATGCTGGCATTTTCTGGTGCTAACTGCATCTTGACCAAGAGCACTACAGATGTTTTTTGCAGCCTCACTTGCTTTTCTTCCTAATTGGAACTCGTAAAGCATGCAGTGCCGAATATGCTCTTCATCTGCCATCTTCTTAGCCCTAGTTTTGCAACAAAAACCAAACCAAACACAAACTTTTTCAAGCAAAACTTGTTAATTGCACTTCACACGTTCTGTAGATACCACGTGTTTGAAGGTTATGTCAATACAAGTCAACGCCAAGCAAGATTTTAAACGAATGTTAAAAAACGACATTAATTATATAACTGATTCTTTCATACTCCTCCTGATTGTTTTATGCTTTTAAAAGCTATTGTCCACTAGTCTTTCTCTTCCCCTGCATCCACATAGATTTCTGAGAAACAGCATGTCTTTCGTTTATTGTTTTGCCTCCTGAGAGCCAGTTCTCCAGGTCAATGGCTCAACCACACATTTGTTTATATAGAAGATAGAACAACTGTTCATTTTTCTAACAAGGAAATGAAAAGGGAAAGGAAAGAAAAAGAAGGAAAGAATGGAGGAAGGGAGAGAATGAGGGGAAAATATATATACGGGGGGGTGGGATGTCCCTCAGCCCAGCCTGCATCCTCTCCAATCTTGGACCCCTC